AGATTTTCATCATAGGTGGCCTTTAAAATGAACTTTTCTGTCATTTTTTCATATCCTGACTTGCTCTTTGTTGAACTTTTTCTTGAATCCAGCTTTTGCTTTTTCAGCATCTTGTTGGAGTGTCGGAGCTCCACAAAGTGAGCGAGAGAAAGCAGAGGAAGCGGAGGGCAGATTAATCAGGCAACTTCAAAGAGAGCAGCAGGGCGAAGGGAGGGAATGGGGCAAAAGATGAATGAACACCAGCCGCCTGTTTGTTGTTTTTTTTTTACTTCCATTCCATCCCTCAGTGCTTCAGTTGGCAGAAGGATGCACCAAACCATTGTGCGGAGGCCACATAGAACACACTGTCGGCTCCTGTTTTTATTCTGCCCGCCAAAAGAGGAGGAGAACATCAGATAGGGAGACTCTTGAAATCGATTTTTCCATTTGATATTCTCTTTTCAAAATAGCTTAGTATTTTAAAACGGTGTTCACTAGGGATGAAACTCAGCCAGTTTTCTCTTGATCATTTTCTTACACTTGAATCTTTGTGCTGCTATGTTTCTAAGGAGGTCTTTCTTTCTTTCACACACATGCTCACTGTGTAGGCCTTGTGTGAATCGCTTTGAAAGTGGCCTGCCGCTCCGCGTGCCCTCTCTGTGTTCGGCTGCTCCGTTGGCTCAAAGATGACTCCAATTTGGGTCTCTCATCCTGACTGCAGACTCAGCACACGTACGTTACACAGTGTTCCTGCCTTGTCCTTTAGTTGGACTCGCTAATCTCTCCACACTTCGTCACAAAGCCCGTCATGCGTCCACATCAAAGAGACGCTACCAACCTGATACCGTGTGACCGCTTAAAATGATCATTCATTAGCTCTGATGAATTGACGAGCATCTCTGGCGGCGCGTTCGCTCCTTTATGTTTCGCTTTGTTCGGACTGTCATGTCCTGCTTTATTTGAGGGATGAACAGACATTCAATTGTCATGTGCTCCGATTCATGAATCAGGCCACTAAGCCTCAGCTGGCTTATCTCACACTTGACACAGTTAAATGTGTATTAATGCCATGGCGTTAAATATTAAAGCAGATGGTATTAATTACATTGATTTGAATTTAGATTGAGCTATTTGGATACAAGTGTTCACAGTTACCGTACGTTCACACTGAAAGCGGCGAGAGCGTCAAAGTAGCCGGAAGTCATTCATTTTCAATGAGAGCCGGCGGCGATAGGCGTCGATAAGCGGCGAGGAGCAGCGCGGCGCGTCTTCGCCGGCGTGAGCGTCGAGGAGAGTTGAAATGAAGTCAACTTTATGGTAATGAGCTATGACGCGGTTCGGCGGCAAGCAATCAGAATGAAGACGTCCACCGCTTGATAGCAGTTCAGAGAACACAGACCTGTGAACTTTGGTTCCGACCACAGTTGTTCCCAAGGGTTTGATTATTGCGGTCGCCGGATTTCCCATTATTTACAATGTTTTCTTACAGGAACATGCATTAAATAAGTTACTGGCGAGTTACTGATGTTCATTAATGTTATATAAATTTATCTTTAAAAAGCGGGAATCTCACGCGATGTGACAGTACAAAACAGTCCTGCTGCTTCAGGATATTTCAGACATATGGACACATATTGGATAAATAGAGCAAAGGCACACCACATGCAACTTGATCTTCCATTGTTGTATGAATTTGATAAGAAGTGCGCAACATTTTCACGCTAAAAACATGTCTTATGCAGGAATGTAACTGATATGCTGCAATGGCTCCTTTAAGTACGAGATCAATGTAGCGAGTTTTGACGCTCTCGCCGCAGGAGCTGAAGGCAGACAGCGTTGTCGCCAGGGCGGCCAGAGCGACCTTGGACGCTCTCGCCGCTTTCGGTGTGAACGTACGGTTAGTATATGTTATGTTATGTGTGGTTAGTCTAACTGGCATCAGGCTTTCTAAATGCACCCTAGAAAGGACTTGAAATCGATAGTAGTTTTGAGGGAGATTTGATTTGATTTTTTCATGCAATTAAACTAAGGCACTTGTTCCAGAACATAAAAACAAATATTAAAATAGGCAGATGCCTGTACTGTATACTGTAAACCAGAAGTCCCACAACAGATTTTTGTGTTGGTCAGAAAATTTAATTATTTAAAATGAGACAAAGCAAGCATCAAAAATATGCCAGAACAGTTCCAGCCCTGAACAACTGCTTTTTTATTTATTTATTTTTATTTATGAGAAGAATCAGTTCAGAAACAATCAGTATAAAAATTTAGAATATTTCCACAGAATACATAATTCATGAATTAAATGATCTCCTGTTTAATGAAATTTGTTTTAAGACAAAGAAAATGGATTGTCATACACTTTATCATGATTTACAGAAACTTTTAAGCTAACTATTTTATGCTGAATGAGGATGGAACAAAAGTTGGTTGGAACATTAAAGGCAGACATTCAGCGGATATAAAGTCACTTTTGTAAATTTAATATAACGGAGGCCAGCTAGTAAAGTGCTACGCAGGTAAACCTCACTCCTCTGACCTCAAATGGTGCTCTAGCAACAGACTCCAGAGGCCATGGTCTTTAGCCTCCTTGTTAGAGCAACCAACTCCTATGTAAAGAATCGCTGGTTCAATCCCAGCTCAGTGTGGGTTGGGTGTAGTAGGAGTGGTGGGTTACATGTTGATGCTCATCCGAGATGGGAGTGAGGTTTAGGGGGGTGAGTGCAATAAAAGCCCGTTAGCGAAGTGCTATGAAGGTAAACCTCACTCCTCTGTCCTCTAAAAGTGCTCTAGCAACAGACGCTAGAGTTGATGGTCTTTAGCCTCTTTGCTAGAGCAACCAACTCCTTTGCAAAGAATTGCAGGTTCATTCCCAGCTCATTGTGGATTAGGTGTAGTAGGACCGGTGGGTTATTTGGAGGCTCGTCTGGGATGGAGGTGAGGTTTAGGGGGTAACTGTAATTGAGGCCAGCTAGCAAAGTGCTTTGCAGTTAAACCTCACTCCTCTGACCACTAAAGGCTGCGTTGAGTGATCGGTGTGACCCACGGCGACTGCCTTGCACGTAGTCATGCATTTATACTTCTGCGTGCTGTTTGTGTTGCTCTGCAATAACACTTCCAAAACACTAACAGGCAGTAGGTTTTTATGTTCCTCTGTGTCCAATTTCTTTGAGAGTGTTTTGTTTTTTCTGATCGCTACAAGTAGCTAAAACTCACTCACTCAGAGCTGCAAACTAGCGGAAGTGCAACAACTTTGACACAAAACATCTAAAGCTCCTTTAGTTAAATTTTTTGACAGGTGTGCCTCTGCGTCGGCATCAGCCACTGCGAGGGCTATGCAACCGTGTGAAGGCTGCGCTGGACTCTACGCATGATGCGGAAGTATAAATCAGCCTTAAAGGTGCTCTAGCGACAGATGCTTGAGGCCATGGTCTTTAGTCTCCTTGTTAAGCCTGATTTATACTTCTGTGTCAAGTGACCGGCGTAACACATGGCGCATGCAACGAGCGTGCATTTATACTTCTGCCCGCTGTCTCTGTTGGTCTGCATAAACACTTCCGAAACGCTAGTTGGCAGTGAGGTGTTAATGCTCCTCTGTGTCGAGTTTCTTTGCTGCTTTTTTTTCTTTTCCTGAACACTTCTGGGATGTACAAGTGGCTCAAACTCGCTCATTTTGAGGCAGGAACCGGCGAACGTGCAACAACTTTAACAAATGAGGTAAACACAAAACAAAACTTTCCATCGGGAGCTCTTTCACGGGACTCCACACTTGTAAACAATCGCTCCATCGGGGTCGCGCCATTCACGCGGCTGTCGGCCCCACTCAGACTCGTCAGCGATACCAACCCGACCAATCACAGAGCTTGCGCTACGAGTTTTTGCGACGTGTAGTTACATTTGTTGAGAGGTGCATGTCAGCGACGCCGACGGCCACGGCGAAGGGCTATGTGTCAGCGCCGTAGCATACGCCGGCGTTTGACGCAGAAGTATAAATCAGCCTGTAGAGTAACCGACTTTCATACAAAGAATTGCCTGGTTCAATCCCAGCGCCGTGCGGATTGGGTTCAGTAAGACCTGTGGGTTACATTATGATACAGACACCAATATGACCCTGACCCTAATATTTTATTATGTAGAAATTTACTGTAAAACTATTTTTAAATATCTTTGTGCAACAAAGCTAGAAAGATCAAGAGGCCTTCAAATTTTGTTGTGTTCATTAATTAATAATTATCAGTAAATAAGCAAATATATATTTAATATAAGTTTAAGTCATTTTAAACTGGTAAAAAGTTGAGAACCTGTTGAAAAACAGTTGTTTGACGATTGTGTCATTAATATTTCTTTAAAAAAACTTAATTATGACTTGTGTGTTAATAACAAAAAGTATTTTTATATTTAAAATAAAAACTTTCTTATTCTCAAGGCTTAAGCAATTCCCATGAAACAAACAGTAAAACATCTACTGTATATGCAGTCCATGATTTAGTTTTAGTGTAGTCATATAGTGTTATTTACTGTATGTAGAGCTCACAATTAGATTTGTGTACAACCTGAATTCGAATTGAATTTCCATTTAATGTTTTCAAACAATCATTGGAAAGCAACTTCTGCGAAAGTCCAACAAATTAGGCACCAAAACACCAAACTTTTCTACGAACCCTCTGCCTGTAACGAGTAAACAAATGACGAGCCCTTGTGTTTTTTTTTTAATGTTGTATGCATTTATGCAATGATTCAGCTATGCTGAGCTGAGAAAGATGCGATGATCTGGACTGACAATATTTTAATGGAGCACATAAAAGCGTGAAAGTGATCAAGGAGGTCGGCGTGCCTGTGATCGCCACATTCGCTCGCTTTGAACTCTCGGGGAGGAGCACAATGCTCTCATTCAGAGATTGGCTGAATGACAGATGCTCACCCCCTCCTCGTCTCGGTGTCTCTCCAACGTTAATGAATTCAAACAACCCGCCCCCTACCCGTCCAGCTCCCTCTCTCTCTCTCCTTTTCTCTCACCGCAGAACCACATCGTTTCAAGCCCTGGCAAGTTCCTGGTGATTTCTCATCGTCTTAATGAATTCAGCTGGGAGTGCATTGGCCCTGATGCCCACCCCCTCGGAGAGAGCTCCAGTGCTCTTGCATATATCTGCAGGGCTGCTCCATGCTCTCCCATTGTTTGCACAGCTTCTGTCACTCACAGATACTCTGAGAGGGAGTGAGGGAGAAAGCTGAGCCGCTCTGGAGGTGGGAGATACTTGTGCTGCTGGGCTTTTGAAAACTTTCTCAAAGCTTTCTGAAGAAAAAAACAACAGCTTTTCTCCTCACCTGTGGACAGGTGGAATCATGGGTGTGATGTCACTGCTGCTGTTGACCGTGATTGGTTGGTGTGGTGGAGCGCCGCCAGTGAGGGAGGTGTACCGAATGCCACAGAGCGCGCTCAAAGGTAGGCCAGATGTTTTGGTTGCTTCTAAATTCTAAACTTTGTAATGATTTGCACCTTTCCATCAGATTGGCACCATCTCTGTTTTTTTTTTTTGTTTGTTTTTAAATCTATCTTTAAAACTCTTTTAAAGTTTTTAACACATGGACTGGGTTTCATTTCATATTTGAGCTGGTAAAGGTTTCCTTTTATTCTTTGTATTTATTTACATTTTAAACTTGTTTTTGTCTTGGACTTACTCCTGTTGTTTGTGGCTTCTAGATATTGTGAAGCACTTTGGTCAACATTGGTTGTTTTTAATTGTGCTATGTAAAGAAACTGTCATTGTCATTGAATTCATTGACTGTTTGAGCTTGAGCTTTTTCTTATTAATAATCTTGTTGCAAAGGCAGAAGATGAAAAGCCTTTCCGTTATTTGAAGACATTTACCAGCAGAGACGATGGAGAATTTCCATTTTAAAAATAATGTTCTAAATTGGCATCATTGGTTCATGTAGTAACTTTTTTTGATCCATGGAAGCTTTTCGGGTATTTTGAGTGGAAAAGATAGATTACGGAAATGCTCTTTACAATTAAACATGACAACTATTGCCTGAAACATTCAATGGAGATCCAAAATTGATTTTTATATGACATCAAAACCTCAAAGAACCTTTTTTATTTTCGAAAAGGTTTTTTTTTTTCTTTTAATAATAACTATTTATTTATAGGAAAAAAAGAAATCAGAAACGATCAGCATAGTTCCATAGAATACAGAATAAGAATAAATGATTGTAGAATAAAGAATAAAAAATAATAACAAAAGTTTCTTTAAATAATAACTTTTTGAAGCCAGGGTGCGAGTGTCACTGTGACAGTGGTTAGCGCTGTCGCCTCACAGCCAGAAGGTTGCTGGTTCGAGTCCCGGCTTGGCCAGTTAGCAATTCTGTGTAAAGCTTGCTTCTCCCTGTGTTCGCCTGGGTTTCTTCCAGTTTCCCCCACAATCCAAAGGCACACTGTAAAAAAATCCATAATTTTACGGTTTATTTCTAGCAGCTGGGGTGCCAGAAATAAACTGTAAAATAACGGCCCGTTAAATTACAGAAATTTACTGTAAAATAACAGAATTTTCCAGAATTTCCAGAATCTTCCAGAACTTAAATTTAAGGAAATTTCTGTAATTTAATGTCTGTTATTTTACAGTAAATATTTGTAATTTATAGGCCGTTATTTTACAGTTTATTTCTGGCACTCCAGCTGCCGTAAATAAATCTTAAAATTATGGATTTTTTTACAGTGCATCCGCTATAGGTGTATTGAAGAAACTAAATTGACCATAGTGTATGAGTGTGTGTGTGAAGGCAAGAGTGTATGGGAGTTTCCCAGTACTTGGTTGCGGCTGGAAGGGCATCTGCTGCATAAAACACATGCCAGAATAATGGCAGTTCATTCCACTGCGGCAGCTTTCTGAAGCTGAAGAAAAAGCAGAAGAAAAATGAAGGAATATATGAAGCATGTGTCATATTTAAAAGTCTTCACATAGTCTTCATGCTATTGAGAGATTATTCATTATTAGCCATTATTAGTCTTTAAGGTACTTAATGGTCAATTTGAAAAACTATATTTCAATATTACACTTTAAAAAATAAAAAAGTAATTTTTTTCTTATAAAGCAATGCTATAGAAGAACAATTTGGATTTTCCTAAAGAACCTTTCAGTAAACAATTCTGAAAATAACCACTTTTTCTTCTTAGTGCAAAGACAAGAATATTTTAATCATATAAAGAAGCTTTTGAGGAACAAAAATCTTCTGTGGATGTTAAAGAACCAAAGATGCCAAGAAAGACCTTAATTTTTCAATTTTGGTTTAAATAAAAGCATCTGCTAAGTAAGTGCATGTGTGATTTGCATATACAATTGATTTGCATAATCTTTCAATATACACTACCAGTCAAAAGTTTGGGGTCATTAGGGGGCATTTATTAAATGTAAAAAAATGTTACATTGTTAAATATTTATTCAAATTTTAAATAACTTCTTTCTTATTGTATATAGTTTCAAATGGCCTACTTTTATTACTATTACAATAATAATAATAATAATAATAATAATGATAAAAATAATAATAATAATAATAATAATAATAATAATAATGATAAAAATAATAATAATAATAATAATAATAACATTAATAATAATAACAACAACAATACTACTACTACTACTACTACTACTAATAATAATAATAATAATAATAAATATTAGACACATTTCTTATGGATCATGTGACTCTGAAGACTGGAGTAATGAAGCGGAAAATTCAACTTTAAAATCACAGGAATAAATTGATTAAATTAAATGATAAACTACTTTTGAACAGTTATTTTATAGTGCAATAATATCTCACAATTTTACAATTTGTACTATATTTTTTGATGAAATGAATGCAGCATTGGTGAGCAGGATACGCTTTTTTTAAAACAATTAAAAATCCTACTCACCCCAAACTTTTGTTGTGTAATTTTAAAATAGTTTATTTTAAAGAAGTAAGATGTCATATCCATATGTCCATATTGTCATAAGATCTTCACACATTTAATTGCTACTCTTAATGTATTCAAGCAGTGCATGTATTTTGGCCAGTTTGCAAATATGAAGTGCAGTAATTTCAGTATAGTCTTTATATGCTGTTCAGTCAGTGTTTTGTTGATAAGACTCAACTCTTGTGCTGTCACAGTGAGACTGTTCGGGAGTTTAGCGTGGTCACCATAGAGGCCACAGTTGAGGCTGTTAATTAATCTCTCAATAAGCTTTGATGTCTCTCTCGCTCTCTGGGATATAGAGAAGAGGGGGCGGCTGAATGATGTCCAGTCTGTTTGAACTTTGAGTTTGCTGTCTTTTGCACTGCTCTGAGCATGTGCTTGCTCACTTGTGACTGATAAAACTGTGCACACGTACCGTGACTGTGATAAAAATACTTAGGAAACAGCATAGTGATGCATAGAAAGAGTACGTGTGGATTTTGTTTACTTGGAGAAATCTGCTCAGATTCTTAGTTTTTTTTCTTTTCTTCCTGCCCTGCAGTTTTGTAATCTGTTTTCATTTGTATTCATAAATCTGAGCATTTTTCATGGCTGAACCAAATGTTTAGTGTTAAAGCCAAAGATTTTAAAAGCACTATTTGTGCAGATTGATGATTTACTAAAGAACGTTTCAGCGAACAGTTCTGAAAAAGAATGTTTACTTTTTTTTACACTATTTAGAATCATTTTTTGGAATAAATTGATTCACAGAAATTTAGGGTTACTTATGGGACCATAAATGTCCATAAAAAAACTTTTTTATTTCATGTTGTGGAGGGCCAGGGGTTCAGCTTTAAATGGGACTGGATAGTGGAGATTATAGGAAAGTGTGGGGAAAAGAGCAATGGAAGGATCGGCAAAGGACATTGTGCTGAGATTTGAACTTGGATCACTGTGAACACCATAATGCTATGTCAATGCACTAGGCTATTGGTGCATACAAAAACGTTTTTTTTTTTTTTCGCAAACATTTACAATTCCAACATTAGTTGTCGCTTTTCCAGTTTAAATTCCCTAATTGGGGATCAAAGAGGAAACATAAATTTCTTCATGACAGTAACAGAAGAACACATCCCTTTGCTTTATCTTACTTCTTTTATTGACTTTATTCTTTATTGTGGATGTGCGCTTTTTGTGATTGTTTTAGAACTTTTGATTGAGTTTCCTATGGGAGAAATTACTAGGAATAATAAATGGCAGGAAACAGTCAGACTACCTGTTCTACAAACAAGTGTTTGCATGACTATATAATAATAAGAAAATATCAGCTTGCAACATCAAGCAGCAAAACGAGCTGTTTTTAACATATAAAAAGGAATGCAAGTGAATGAGACCGGATATCTCGATCCAAACGAGAAATACGGTAAATCATGCCTTAAAGGTTTTATAGCAAAAAGACATTAGGTTGATGGGGAGTAATGTAGTCAATTCATTTGCACTAGAAGTAAAAAAAATACCTTTTTGCTCATGCAAACAGTCATTTTCCCCATAATGAATATATTTTTGAAGGAAGTCAATCCAATCTTGCATTTGTGAAGAACTTTTATTTTTAGCAGTGCACTGAATTGTATCGGTGGTTCATAGAGAACTTTTAATATCCATAAAATGTTTCTAAATAATGAGAAAAGTTGCTTAAAGTTTAAAAATGACACTAAAAATACTTTTCAATGGGATTCTTCTGGGTTGTCCAAAAATGTAATATAAAATGTAACGTTTTGAATAAACAACAAAGCATCACTAATTGCTGCCCCTCTTTCATTCATTTCATAAGTGCATTAAATGTATTGCATTCCACATGCTGGCTGTTTCAAAGCTAACTAACTTTCTTCCTGACACGTGTGCCTGTTTCTGTCTGTGCAGCGCTGTCTGACAGAGGAACAGTAGTGATGGAGGCGGCTCTGTCTCGAGCTCTGTCTGCTGTAGATGCTGCCGTATCGGAGCGCAGCAGGGCTGAGTCAGGCTGCAGAGGGTGTGTGCCCTGTCTGTTTCAGGACTGTGGACAGCGGAAAAGCGCCTGTGGTAAGCTCAGATCTTACACTTAGATGTGCCGATATTCAATAACTCAAATATCTTGATAACAAACATACACTATATTGATATTGTAAGCACTTCACAATACTACAAATAATTATTTCAATATTCAGTGTGCTTTTTAGGAGCATTCATATTGTACACAGTATGCAGTGGTGTTCATCAGAGTGCCAATTTCCCCGTGATGTCTTTAAAATATATGAGTTTATTTCACTCCAGTATTTTCAATGAAATTTCTGCGCTAGCCTGTTGGTGCTATAAGACAGCTATAATGGTCTTTCATCTCGTTTTATGCTTGAACAGCTAAATGAATGCCTAAGTCTATTTAACTGAGTTTATTGTAATTACATTACAACATCAATTCTGTAAAAACAACCTTGTGAAATTAAAAATAGTACATTAAGCTTTCACCGGAAGTTTATCGTTGGCTTTAAAACTCTGTGCATAGAACCAATTGGTTAGATTCAAACATGGAACATTTTCATGTTATCCTGGCCTACTACAAGCTGAAATATTGATCGAAAATGATTAGACTCTTTATAGGCCTATTGCTCTTTAACACTGCAATAATGCTCAAATTAATAGTTAATTTATTAGCCAAAGCTTAATAATAATGTGATGAAATCACATCATTATTCAGTGTATTTTATCTAATATTGTCATAGAAACCATAATAAATCTCTCTGTTGATTTTAAAGGGCACCTATGATGAAAATCATTTTGTAAGCCGTTTGAACAGAACTGTGTGTAGGTGTAGAGTGTCCACAATCATATTGGAGTGATAGAAACACAATAAGTCTCTCTTTTTAATTTTATTGAGGTTAAAATAGGATCCAAATCCCTCCCATTTAAGGCCCACCGCAACTTGACAAAGGAGAGCAGTTTCCCCGCCCACGGAATTAATTGACAGACGCTTATTAACATGTCTCCGTAGTAGCGTGTGTAATCATATCCACAGCACAGGACGTGCACAAAGCAATAGAGACTAAAAGATCTGTTCAGCACTCTGTGATCATCAATCATCATCAATTGTGATCAAGAACATGTTTTACAAGTGTAAACCTTTTTTTAAAATGTGCATGTTTATAAGGACAGTAAAATCGCTGCGTAATTCATCAATACAGCCACATGTCAGTACAATTATAAAAGAATCTAACCAATCCCGGTTTGTGGATTAAATCAGGTTCATTTTGTACATTAGCATAACGGATATCCATACAACAGTGGATCCTGTCACAATTGCTGTGCAAAAACAGTGCAAAGCTAGTGTGTGTGTGTGTGTGTGTGTGTGTGTGTGTGTGTGTGTGTGTGTGTGTGTGTGTGTGTGTGTGTGTGTGTGTGTGTGTGTGTGTGTGTGCACGGATGCAAGCAAACTTTTTGACAACTTTTTTGTGTGACTCAGCGCTAAATAAAGGCGCTTAAATTAACTCCACAACAAATATATCAAATAACCATTGTGAAAGTTCTTACTGTAGTAGGGGATCTGCTTCATTCTTGTTTGTCTCTGAGCTGTCTATGTGAAGGCTACCTTTGTGACACGCACGTGGAAAGATGGGCGGGGAGAACCAACTCATTCGCATTAAAGGCACAGGGAACAAAAACAGCTACAATGTTTAAACGGCTCAAATTTCCCAGATTTATAAAGGTATAATGAATAATCTGATGGGTATTTTGAGCTGAAACTTTCTGAACACACATTCTGAACACACAAAATAATTATTTTAAATTTTGAAAAATGGGTAAAATTGGTGCCCTTTAATGTATTTAATGTTTACTAATGAGACTCTGTTGTAAACAGGGGCGCCCCCAAGGGGTGGCCACCCCAATATGATAGTTGCTGATATTATTAATTTAAATGTATTTTACTTAAATTCACAATACTTCAATAAATGAATAAATAAAATGCAGCCACTAAATTATTGTGGATTGATCAGGGCCACTGACGAAGCTGATTCACTGAGATTGCACACTTTTTATTAAGAAATTATTATTTTTGAAATGAGAAAGTTGTGTTTCATCTGATTGAAAACCACAAATCCAAAATAAATAACTAGATGCATTTTGAAATCTGCTTTTCAAAATTTTTTTTGGGTTTTGTTTGGTTTATTTATTCATTCATTAATCATATTCATTATTCATAATTCATTAATGTTAGACATGGCATATATTGTATGTTGTACAAGAAATAACTTACCTGAAAGAGGTTTTAGACTAAATATTGATTTTTATTTGGTTTGCACTTGTACTTGCGGAATAAATTACAATATTTCAAGAGTAATTATTGGAATTTATTAAAACTTCATTATTTATTTTACCAAAAACAAAAATATAACATTACTCCTTATTCACAATATATACACAATTCATATTTTTTTTGTGTGCCACCCCAAGATTTGTTGTGGCCTTACTTGGCCACCCCTAAGAAAATTTTCTGGGGGCGCCACTGGTTGTAAAATGTTGTACTTCATAAAGCTTTTGCTATTTATTTTGGCTGAAATGAAGTCGATATCATTAGCTACCAAGATAATACTGTATACCATGATCAAGCTGAAATGAATTCTACGACAAATGAAAGATTCTGCAATTAATCTGTACAAAATAGTGGGTGTGGGTGTGGGTGTTACGGTGGCTCAGTGGGTAGCACGATCGCCTCACAGCAAGAAGGTCGCTAGTTCGTGCCTCAGCTGGGTCAGTTGGCATTTCTGTGTGGAGTTTGCATTTTCTCCGCATGTTTGCGTGGGTTTCCTCTGGGTACTCCGGTTTCCCCACTAGTCAAAAAACATGTGCTATAGGTGAATTGAATTAACTAAATTGTCCATAGTGTATGTGTGTGAATGAGAGTGTATGAATTTTTCCCAGTGATGGGTTGCAGCTGGAAAGGCATCCGCTGCGTAAAACATATACTGGATAAGTTGGCGGTTCATTCAACTGTGGCAACCCCAGATTAATAAAGCGACCAAGCCGAAAAGAAAATGAATGAATGAATAAATAGTCTGATACCGTCATAAGCCTACACACGCACACACACAAAAGCTCTTTGAGTAAATAAATAAATAAATATAAGTGATGTTGTTGGTTCCTCTGTAGCGTCTCCAGAAGACACACAGTCGGAGCCCAGCTGTGAGCTCATCTCACTTGCTCAGCAGGAGGAGGACGAAGGCGAGAGGAGCTGGATGTTGAGTCAGGCCTGTGGTTTCTACAGACGCCGCTGCACACCTGCTCAGGTGAACAGAGACGTCTGTGTGAGAGTGATGGGAGAAAGATGCAGTGCTCGAGTCCTGCAGTGCAGTCTGATCAACACCATGCAGAACCTGGAGCCAGACACGCAGAGCACAGCACAGGGTAAGCACACACACACATACAGTTACAACCAGAATTATTAAACCCTCTTTGAATTTTTTTTCTTTTTTAAATATTTCCCAAATGATATTTAACAAAGCAAGGAATTTTCTTCACTGTATGTCTGATAATATTTTGTCTTCTGGAGAAAGTCTTATCGGTTTTATTTCGGCTAAAATAAAAGCTATTTTTAATTTTTCAAAAGCCATTTTAAGGTCAATATTTTAAGCTCCTTTAAGCTATTTTTTTTTCGATAGTCTACAGAACAATCCATCTTTATACAATAACTTGCCTAATTACCCTAACCTGCCTAGTTAACCTGATTAACCTAGTTAAGCCTTTAAATGTCACTTTAAGCTGTATAGAAGTGTCTTGAAAAATATCTAGTCAAATATTATTTACTGTCATCATGACAAAAATAAAATGAATCAGTAATTAGAAATGAGTTATTAAAACTATTATGTTTGGAAATGTGTTGAAAATTTTCTCTCTGGGGACTAATAATTCAGGGGGTTTAATAATTCTGACTTCAGCTGTATATAATACATACACAGACACAGGTTTTAAATGCATTTTGGTATGGGAAAAAAACTGTTAAACGTTTCTTTTTTTTTCTTTTTTGGGTTCCATGAGGTGTCATTGTTCTCTTCACAGTTCATTCATTCAATATTTTAAAGGGACATTTCACCCAAAAATTAATATTTACTTAATACACTATGAAAAATAATAAGCAGCCAAACTTTTTAACATTGATGATAATACGCATTTGTAATAAAAAATATAAATATTTTTAAAAGCAAGTCAGCACATCAAAAGTTTTCTAAAGGATTATGTGACTATGAGGACTTAAATAATGATGCTGAAAATTAAGCTTTGTGTTAGATACAGGTGAAGTCAGAATTATTTGCTCCCCTGAATTTTTAGCCCCCCTGTTTATTTTTCCCAAATTTCTGTTAAACAGAGATAATTTTTTTTTCAACACATTTCTAAACATAATAGTTTTAATAACTCATTTCTAATAACTGATTTATTTCATCTTTGCCTTGATGACAGTAAATAATATTTTACTAGATATTTTTCAAGACACTTCTATACAGCTTAGAGTGACATTTAAAGGCTTAACTAGGTTAATTAGGACACTAGGCAGGTTAGGGTAATTAGGTAAGTTATTGTATAATTATGGCAGGTTCTCTAGTCTATTGAATAAAAAATAGCTTGAGGGGGCTAATAATTTTGTCCTTAAAATGGTTTTTAAAAAATTGAAAACTGCTTTTATTCTAGCTTAAATAAAACAAATAAGACTTTCTCCAGAAGAAAAAAAAATATTATCAGACATACTGTGAGAATTTCCTTGCTCTGTTAAACATCATTTGGGAAATATTTAAAAAAGTAAAAAAAAAATTAAACGGGGTTTAATAATTCTGATTTTAAGTGTATACAGTACATACCCAGACACAAGTTTTATATGCATTTTGGTATGGGAAAAAACGTTGGTAAACTGTAAATAAACAGTGCATTTTTTGTGGGTTCAATGAGGTGTCATTATTCTCTTTACAGTTCATTCATTGAATGGTTTAAAGGAACATTCCACCCAAAAATGAATATTTACTCAATACACTGTGAAAAATATGTGTTAATTAACAGATTCTACAAAAATATTAAGCAACCAAACATTTTACCATTGATACTAATACACATTTGTAATATATATATATATATATATATATATATATATATATATATAACAAATGTGTACTCATTTAATGACCTACTGGCCACTATTATAAAATAATTTTTTAGTTCTATTTGTCCTGCAAATAGGAACTCTAAAACGATGTCCTGATGGCAGCAGCTGAAACACAGAGTACAATGGGGGATCCGAGAAGCATAGGATACCCTGAGCTCTCTTTAAAACATAATTATGGTAAATTACCATTGGACCAGTTTGGTTAAAACCAATGATCTTGCCCGCCACCTTCACCAGGCTACTCAACTTGTTCTTATTTGACACTCAGATTAACGTTCCAAGCTACAATTCAGAAAGATAAAACAGATTCAATAAATTGTTTTTTTTGTTTATAAACAAAACAGTGTCGTCATTGAGGTAGAAACCTGATCTAAGTTTCCTTGATCAGGAACTTTTTTATAGACAGCCTGGGTGTTAGGTTGAAATGTCAACATATTGTCAATAACATATTCAAATATATATTTAAATGCAACACTTGTTATTAATAAGTGAATAATAACTACATTATTATTATTATTATTATTATTATTATTATTATTATCCTTTTTAAAGATTATAATAATAATAAATATAATAATGATTAAATAAGACAGATTATAACAATACTATATTAATATTATGTACAATCCAATGTATCTTTGCTGCAGCTGTGTGTGGCCAGCGCTTCTCGGTCACTCAGAATGGGACTCAACCCAGGGCTCGTATCATTGGAGGATCTCCTGCTCCTCTGGGCAGCTGGCCATGGCTAGTGAACCTGCGGCTGGACGGGGCTCTGATGTGTGGAGGTGTGCTGGTGGATAGCTCGTGGGTCCTCACTGCTGCACACTGCTTCGCTGGGTAAGAATACTACAACTAATTAAACTTTTTTTTTTTTTAAATGACTTTTTTTTAAAAAATGGCATTGAATACTATGTAACGACAATATAGAATCTTGAATCAATAATGATTGTGCTGTTTGTGACGGAACAATGTGCTGCATTTGAAAAACATCCTCCTCACCTAGGCTACCTTTGTTTAATCAAAAATATAGTCAAAACTGTAAAATTGCGAATTATTATTACAAATAAATTTTAACTGAAAGCAGTTAAAAAATGTATTTCTGTGATTCAAAGCTGATTTTTCTGTATTATTACTCTAGTCTTCATTGTCGCATGATCCTTTACAAATACTGACCCCAAACATTTGACCAGTGAACTTTAAATGTGCTTTCTTATTTATTTTATTTTATTTTACTTACTTATTTTATTTTAATTTTTTATTATTATTTTACTTTTATTTTATTTTATTTTATTTTACTTAAACTTAAATTTACTTTATTTATTTGTTTATTTATTTATTTATATTTATTTATTTATTATTTTATTCATTTTTAAAAAATTTTTTATTTAATTTTTTTCTGTTTGATTTTCATTTATTTTATTATTATTAATTTAATTTAATTTAATTTTAATTTTATTGATTCATTTGTTTATTTAAATTTCTTCTATTTGATTTTTAATTTTGTTTTATTCATTTATTTTATTTTTTTACTTTATATTATTTAAGTTAATTTTATTTTATGTATTTATTTAATTTAAGTATTTTATTTTTTATTTTATTTTATTTTATTATTATTTTGATTGAACTTAATTTAACATAATTTATTCATTTTTAATTAATTTAAATTAATTTAATTTAATTTCATTTCATTTCATTTCATTTCATTTCATTTCATTTCATTTCATTTCATTTATTTCATTTTCATATTATTTCATTTTCATATTATTTGTCATGCGCTAACCAAAATTTCTAACTCTTAAAATGGGTGTTTACAGATTATAATGTTTTGTGAATACCTGAAATAAACAGATATTTGTCCTGTCACTTAGGAGCCGCAGTGAGAGTTACTGGACTGCAGTAGTGGGAGAGTTTGACCTCACTAAAACTGACGCGGATGAGCAGATCATGAAGGTCAATCGCATTATTACCCACCCGAAGGTAAACACATACTGTAAACACATTAACAATGCATGCTTAAAAGAACACTACACTTTGGTAGTGGCTCATTTTACAACACCCCTAGAGTTAAACAGTTGAGTTTTACCAATACTAAATCAATTTAGTCAATCTTCGGTTCTGACGGGAGCACTTTTAGCTTAGCTAAGCATAAATCATTGAATTGGATTAGACCATTAGCATCTCACTCAAAAACTTCAGAAAAAATTAGCGATAATTTTCCTACTTAAATCTCAACTCTTCTTAAGTTAGATTACATTGTATGCTAAAACCAATGGAAAATGAAAACTTTCTATTTTTTTTGGCCGATATCGCTAGGAACTATACCATAGGTCTCAAGCTCGATTCCTGGAGGGCCGCAGCTCTGCACAGTTTTACTCCAACCCTAATCAAACACAGCAGATTCAATTAATCAAGGTGTTCAAAACTACTAGAAAATATTAAGCATGTGTGTGAGCTAGAGGTGATTGGAGCTAAACTATGCAGAGCTGCGGCCCTCCAGGAATTGAGTTTGAGTCCATTGAACTATACTCTCATTCTGGTGTAATAGTTAAAGGAATATTGCTGCCGTACCATGGCTGCAGCATGTAAAATGACAGTATGCAGCACCTGAAAGTAGTCCACAACTAAGTAAGAGCTGAAACGCTTTTTTTGAGATGCTAATGGTCTAATCTGTTTCAATGATTTAGGCTAAGTGAAACTAAAAGTCCCTTTAAGGCAAATAATTTCACTCAACCCCCAACTTTGAAATGTCTCTCGGGAAAACTGTCTGAAAGGGAAAACATCAAATTCTTAAAAATTGCTTGCCAAGCTTACGATTAAATAATTTATATTAGGAATCACTATTAAAACAAACTACAACTGTGCCTTTAGTTTCAGTTTTAAACATTCGAATCACACAAAATCTGCAGAAACTCACGTCTGCTCCGAGTCCCTCCCTCGAAGAATTCTTAGTCTATGGCGATCCATGATTGGCTCCTGTACTCAGAGGCGGGGCTTCATTTGCCATCTTGAATTTTATTCTTTTCCGTTACATAAGCAAACCTGCGGTCGTTGAGTGCGTGAAGTGTCCATCATTACACACTTTATTTTAGCGGCTGAATGAGTGCATCATCCGGGTAATTAAAGTGCACTTATTATTTTTTGAGTTTTCAGTGTGAACACACTACTTACACTATTTATACTACAAAATGGCGTAGAATAGTGCATAAGTATGCGATTTGGGACGCAGCTTATATATGAGGGACATGTCTTGTGTATTCTATAGTCTTTGTAAAAGTACCATCACCAGACACAGAGATCGGCTGAATGGATTAAAAACTGGTAAAACCCAGTAGTTTAACTCTAGGGGACTTGAAAAACGAGCCTTTAAAACACATTTTAAACATTTTAAAATAACCTCTCCCTCTTTATATTGTAGTTTAACCCAAAGACGTTCAATAATGACATTGCTCTGGTGGAGCTGAGCTCTCCGGTGATTCTGTCTGAACGGGTCACTCCTGTCTGTCTGCCCTCTGACTTGGATCCTCCGGCTGGCACACCCTGTTTAGTGGCCGGCTGGGGATCTTTGTATGAAGGTAAGAGACGATGAAACATGACTCAATTTTTAGAAAGAGCACAGTAACATTAAAAGATATACGTTAAGGATGCTGTTTTTTGTATTTTTTTGTAGACGGCCCATCTGCAGATGTGGTGATGGAGGCGAAGGTGCCCCTGTTGTCTCAAGCCACATGTCAAAGTGCATTGGGGAAAGAGCTGCTCACTAACACCATGTTCTGTGCTGGCTACCTGTCCGGGGGCATCGACTCATGCCAGGTACCTCATCATTATAATACTGACCTGCATTATGGGCTATTGAAGCTTGTTTAGTTTGTTGTGGAATAAAAATTTAAAATAGTTGCACATTTTTTTTTCTGATCTTAAAACTTGCAAAACTTTTTTTTTTTTTTTTAGAATTAAACCATTTCTCATGATTAAAGTTTACTAACTGCATATATTTTTTTGTCTTTCATACTGTAGTTTGCACTGATTTCTCACTTTAGATGACTTTTTTGAAATTTCATATTCAAATTATAAATTCAAAACATCTTTAACAGCTATAAGCCTTTTTTATAATTCACTTTTTAATTAGAATTGCAAGTTATAATCTACTCAGAATTGCAAATTGTAAACTTCTAATTACAAGATAACATCTCATAATGATTTTTAAATTATAAAATAGTTTGCGAACTTACATCTCCCAGCTTGAAATATTTAGAAAAGAGCATTTTTTACCATAAAATCGCAAGTTATATACAGTTAAAGTCAGAATTATCAGTCCTTCCCAGAATTATTAGCCCCCTTGTTTATTTTTTCCCCAATTTCTGTTTAAAGGAGAGAAGATTTTTTCAACACATTTGTAAACATAACAGTTTAATAACTCATTTCTAATAACTGATTTATTTCATCTTTGCATTGATGACAGTAAATAATATTTGACTAGATATTTTTCAACACACTTCTATACAGCTTAAAGTGACAATTAAAGGCTTGACTAGGTTAATTAGGCTAACTAGGCAGGTTAGAGTAATGAGGCAAGTTATTGTATAATGATGGTTTGTTCTGTAGGCTATCGAAAAAAATATATAGCTTAAAGGGGCTAATAATTTTGACCTTAAAATTGTTTTAAAAAAATTAAAAACTGCTTTTATTCTAGTCGAAATAAAACAAATAAGACCTTCTCTAGACGAAAAAATATTACATGACATACTGTGGAAATTTCCTTGCTTTGTTAAGCATCATTTGGGAAATAATAAAAAAATAAATAAATTCAAAGGGGGGCTAATAACTTATGACTTAATGACTTCAATTGTACTTCCCACATTACAGACTTACACAAAAAAAGAAGTATAAATAATTAAATTAGAGATGTACATCTCTTTAAGTAAAGTGTGACCATATATTTTCTTTATTCGTTTGGTGAAGTAAGCTTCAATAATGAACACCACACACACTGAAGAAACATACTGTATCACACTCATCTCTGTTTGCGTGTGTATAGGGGGATTCTGGAGGGCCGCTGATCTTCCAGGACCGTTTGTCAGGACGCTTTCAGCTGCTTGGCATCACCTCTTGGGGTGACGGCTGTGGGGAGAAGGGGAAGCCTGGCGTCTACACACGGGTCACTGCCTTCTCTGACTGGGTCCTGACAGAGATACAGAGTGAGTTACTTAACGCTGTTGTATACACTACTGAAACAAACATCACTACACGCTTTCTGCATAATGAAAACCTATAAATTCCACAAAAGCTATTTATATGTCATGCTTTAAATTCCTCCAGAGTCCTTCGGGAGTCGAGAACCCACATGTCCTGAGCTGCTGAAAACAAGCGAGTTGACCCAGGAACAGCAGGTGGCGGAGTTTAGCTCACTTTGCCACTTTTACACACTCTCCTGCTCTCCGACCCTCGACCCCTTGGCCTGCCAGCGCCTCGCTCTTGACAAATGCCAAAGCCGCTTTAAGAAGTGCCGTAAGTTATCTACACTTTTTTTAAAATGAAATGAAGTAAAATGAAAATCTACTTTGAATTCTTATATTCATTTGTTGGGTATTGCTGACATTTTGGAAATGCTTGGAATATTAAAATTAAATGAGAAATGAGAACCTTTGGGCATCTTGGCAGCTTTTATACTATTTAAATTTTCATTTTTATTAATTAAAACTTTATTTTATTTATACTGCAGTTTTCACTGTCTTCAAACTGAAAAAGTTCTAACTGAAGATTCTGTGAAATTTAAAAAAACAGTAAAAGTTTTTATTTTATTTCATTTACTTAAGTGAAAGTAAGTAATAAGGCGACGCAGTGGTGCAGTAGGTAGTGCTGTCACCTCACACCAAGAAGGTCGCTGGTTCGAGCTTCAGCTGGGTCAGTTGGCATTTCTGTGTGGAGTTTGCATGCTCTCCCTGCGTTTGTGTGGGCTTTCCCCGGGTGCTCCGGTTTCCCCCACAGTCTGAAGACATGCGGTAGAGGTGAATTGGGTAAGCTAAATTGTCCGTAGTATATGAGAGTGTATGAATGTTTCCCAGAGATGGGTTGCGGCTGGAAGGGCATACGCTGCGTAAAATATATGCTGGATAAGTTGGCGGTTCATTCCGCTGTGGCGACCACAGAATAATAAAGGGACTAAGCCAAAAAGAAAATGAAAGAATGAATAAATGGATGAAAGTAAAAAAAATTACATTTAATTTATTTGAATTTTTATTTAATTTTATTTACTTAAGTGAAAGTCAGTAATAAAATGTATGTGCATTTAATTTTTTTTATTTTATTTTATTTTTAGTTATTTATCTTTTATTTACTTAAATGAAAGTCAGTAATAAAATGTACATTTAATTGATTTTTAAATAAATTTGATTTACTTAAGTGAAAGTCAGTAATAAAATGTACATTTCATAGATTTTTTTATTTTGTTTTTTATTTTGTTTTATTTTATTCACTTAAGTGAAAGTCAGTAATAAAATGTATGTGGATTTAATTTATATTTATTTTAGTTTAGTTTTATTTAGTTTTATTTTATTTACTTAAGTGAAAGTCAGTAATAAAATGTACATTTAATAACTTTTTTATTTTATTTTTCATTTAATAAATTTTTATTTTATTTTTTTATTTTATTTTTCATTTAATAAATTTTTATTTTATTTTATTTATACTTTCTGAATTAAAATATAATTGTCTTTCTTTCTAGAGTTACACTCCTTCCTGCAGACGCTACTGGACATGCTCCAGCGGGCCGATGACTATATCAGAGATAAAGTGGATCTGACCTTCTTCACCCAGACTCTTCCTCAGCTGGTGGAGAACGTGTACAACTCTGCTCATATGCCACGAAGACGCAGAAACACACTTGAAACAGGTAGAGCCATTAAAGCGTTCTGCACTGAACATCATCAGAGCACAAGAGCGGATACCATTCTAACCAACATATTTTTCTCAAAGAGCAGCTAGGCCTGCCAGCGCTGTTCCAGCAAGTGGGACCCCTGGTGGACGACTGGGAGAACTACCTGAGAGACATCGCTGATGATCTGGAGCAACACAAAGAGCTGAAGAATTTAAATGAGCAAGAACTCTTCACACCGGTAAACATGACTCATTTCAGAAAATATATACATACATACAGGGCCCGACATTACTTTTTAGATCACCAGCCGCTGTGGCTGCTAGTAGTTTTTCAACATTAATAGCCATTTGCTATTTTCACTAGCCACAATTTTGTTGTAAGGAAAATATTTATTTATATGCATATATTTGACTTTGGCATGCTAAAATGACTTAATTTACATTTTGCGTTATGTCCACATTAGTCTTCAATCATTTCAATTTTTGTGTATCGTGTATGAGCTTGAACAAAGAGCATGAGCAAATGGGTTGTGCTTTCATAGTGTTGCATTGCAATCAGTTCTTGTTTAATAAGACTTTTTAGTGCTCAACATTTACCTTTTTTTTGAGGCCACACCAAAAATAAACAAACAAATAAATAATTTCTTAGCCACAAATTTAAAATAATTAGACATTTTCAAAACAAGCAAAATATAGCTCTTTACATGCACTTTTTATTCAACAAAACCTTTCTTAAAAAAAAAACTACTGACATTTTAAAAATAATTATTGTCATGTATCTAGAACTGTGCACAGTAATCTGTCCTGAGTAAAGGTCCCGAATTACCAGTTCACATAAATGGGGGATTCATCTTCTATTAAAGCAATGCTATTGTAAAGGATTATAATTAAACCATAAATAAAAAAATAATAACTGCAAAAGAAAGCAGATAATGAACATACTGTGTGAGTGAGGTAATGAAAGGATGATCACCTGCACACGCTTAACATTAGGACCATTAATAATGGCTGTTTCTCAATATGCATTCAAATGCGATGCGTCCTCGTGTTCTTGTGTAACGTCATCATCAACTACAAAAGTTGAGTTCCAATACTCAAGATCGCAAGAACGGAGGACGGGTGAAGGTTCCCGGATATGTTCTTGTTATCGAGGACGCATTGATGCAGACTTGAGTAGTGAACTCGCTCGAGAAGTCCCAGAAGTCATTGGGGCTGGAGGTGGGAAGCGCATTTTATGTAAGTTTATTTTTAAATCAGCACCCCCCCCCCCCATTCTACTCTTCACTTGGGGCCCCCATTAATAATCCTATTTTGCGCTATGCCACTGGATATAACTTATTTGTCTCAGGAGTTTCCCTAAAGGAAATGTTGAATGTAAACATTACCATGAAAACTATAATAAGGGAATAAACACACTAAGGATGTTTATTTTTCTGAAATTCGTATTAAAATTTGCATATATACGTAGTATATATTGTGACAAGGGGGAAAACAATAAATCGCTGATTGAATGCTGTAATGTTTAAAAAATTTTCGGTTAAAAACACGTGAAGGTCATGTGACCATCAGGAAGAACACAGCATCTAATTTCTCACAGGACACGTTCTCTGTTCTCGCTGTCTCCAGAGTTTGTCCTTCCGAGGTGACCTGGCAAGGTCTTCACAAGAACACAATATCACAGCCATATCACCCTGAAGCCCAAGACCGGTTACTCACTGAAGCTAAGCAGGGCTGAGCCTGGTTAGTACCTAGATGGGAGACCACTAGGGAACACTAGGTTGCTGTTGGAAGTGGTGTTAGTGAGGCCAGCAGGGGGCGCTCAACCTGTGGTCTATGTGAGTCCTAATGCCCCAGTAAAAGTGAAGGGGACACTACACTGTCGGTGGGCGCCTTCTTTCGGATGAGACGTTAAACCGAGGTCCTGACTCTCTGTGGTCATTAAAAATCCCATGGCACTTCTCGTGAAAGAGCAGGGGTGTAACCCCTTTGTCCTGGCCAAAGTCCCTCTATCGGCCCATACGATCATGGCCTCCCAATCATCCCCTTCCACCGAATTGACTCTATCACTGTCTCTCCACTCCCTCTACAGCTGGTGTGTGGTGAGCGCACTGGCGCCGTTGTCCTGTGGCTGCCGTCACATCATCCAGGTGGATGCTGCACACTGGTGGTGGTGTGAAGAGACCCCCCCTCATGATTGTGAAGCGCTTTGGGTGTATGGCCATACACAATAAATGCGCTATATAAATACACATTACATTACATTACAAGTCTGTTGCCTGCGTTCTTGGACTTGATAAACAGCCAATCTGTTTAAAAAATGGTTAGAGCAAAAGTGCCAACCTCTGCTGCTTACACAAAGACGTTTTTTTTTAAAGAATTTCAGGGAGTACTCACACTATGCTATCCAGGCCAGGCCCAGGATCGTTTCCCGGATCGCTTAAGAAGTTTGAGTGCTCAGAATCGGGCTCAGGGCACGGTTCACTTGGCCGGCCCTGGCCCGGTTGGAAGAGGTGTGCGCGGTTCACTTGGGCTTTGGCGCGGTACGCTTGTCTGTGAGTGCAAAACGTGCCTGAGCCCGAAACTGTAAGCGAGACATGACTTTTAAGGGACTGTTTCATATGGATTTATTAATGATTCTTATTGTTCAATAATCACAAACGAGGACTTTATGATTGTTTATGAGCGTCTAAAATGGCTGATCTGTTCGGCGAAATGTATTACTGTGTGTCACTGCAAACAACTTAAACGATATAACTGAAGAAATCTCCACTGTGCTGAGCGAGAGCGCTTCTTACTGAACAGTGCATAATCAATGATGTAAGCGTGCTCAAGCCCGAATGTAATGTGAGTGCGGGCCGTCGGGGGAGATAAGGAGCTTTGGCCCGGTTCAAGGTAACTGTACATAGTGTGAGTATGCCCTCAAACTCTTGAAAGCAAGCATCGTGAGCACTGCATTTGTCCAGTCTATTTTAAAGGGAACCGATCACATTAGTTGCGTTTTCAGGCACAGTTCCTTCGCACAAGTAAACGGGAGCATGCAAGCATTGAAACACTCGTGCACATCAGCAGCTGTTTGTGCGAGACTAAAGCCCTCATCAGTGAATGAGAGTCTCCCCATGTTCGTGATCATCCTCTCATTCGGTATTCACATGCTTTCTTTTGCTCGTGTGAACATTTACTTTTTTCAGTGGTGCTGCGCCTTGATGGGCAACCTTATTGCCGAACTTTGCTTTTAAGAAAACTACCATTTAAAAATTATTTTCAACTGGCCAAAGTGACCATTGGGTGTGGGTGTCTAACGTGCCACAGCTGAAATCTACCCGCATTTCAAGAGTTCACATTTAGCTGATGGTATGCTGTCCCAGGAGAGAGCCCTGAGCTCATAAGATCCTCGAGCCCGGGGCTCCCTCTTATTTGCAAGGTGAGAGGGGAGTTTGAGCTCAAGTAGATCTTGAGAATTCCCCTGCTGTTGCTAATGAACGGATGATTGCTCTTAAGAGATAGAGATTAGCCAATTAACATAAGTTGCATGTTTTTGGACGATGGGAGGAAACCGGAGAACCCGGGGGAAACCCACATGAGCATGGGGAGAGCGTGTAAACTCCACAGAGAAACGTCGACTGTCTTGGTAAGGACTAGAACCAGTGACGTTCTTGCTGTGAGGCAACAGTGCTAACCACTGGGCCACCGTGCATCTAGGAAAGGAGGAGGAGTAGGGGTGGAAGGAAGATTCTTCAAAACGAAGATGGCTGTTTTATGGAACTTAGGGTATTTATAGTGGCTTAGGAATCGTCTGATTGGTGAATCCTAAATTAAATCATTTGGGACCGGCTACAAGCAATCATAAGCATGTGATCCTCTCGAAATTAGTTTAGAAATAAACTTCACTGGGCGAGTGGGCAGGTGTCAATAGCCCCTTTCACACATACAGACCTTTCCGGAAAATTACCGGCAATTTTCCGGAAAGGTTGTATGTGTGAACAGGTCCTTTTTGAAAATACCGGTAAATTCGTTCTGGCTATTTTCCGGAAAGAGAAGTTGTAACATTACCGGCAATTTGCCGGAATGCTGCGCTGTGTGAACGCAGAAGGAATATTTCCGGAATAAGCGCGTGCACGTCTAGAACGTGCTGACGTAAGACTTCTGCTTTAGCCAATCACAACAGTCAGACGCATTTACGTCCGCGCGGTTTGTGAGAATAAAAGCCTTTGAATATTTTTCCAGACACATTTAGCTGCTAGAAGTTAGTCAGATAACGTTTATATGTTCTTCTTAATGCCAACTGTGCAAATAATCATCGATAAGATGCTTATGATAAGCCGTTGTTTGTTTACCTTCAAGCTTTGCGTGTGCCCATGAAACAGCCTGTGAGCGGCAGCACACGCACATATTATGAACATCTCGACATGCGAATATGATCCTGTGAAAGTTGTTTACAATATTGATCATCAAAAGAGTTTGTAATTTAGTCAAATGTTTACAAATACAAGCGCAGCCGTTTAAAGCTCATTTGTGGTGAATGATGTCAGAATTTACCGGTATTTTGGAATGGATGTGTGAATGCTCTTTTCCGGAAAATTTCCGTAACGTCCTCGCCTGTTTGAACAGCGCTTTTTTGAACATACCGGTAAAGTCGTTCCGTAAATTTTCCGGATATTTTCCGGTATCACTGTGTGAAAGGGGCTAATGTCAAGCCCTGAATACATAGATATTGTGAAATTGCATGGAACTGATACGGAACTGCATTTATTTTCGTCAATTTGTATTTAAATATTTGGTCTAAATCCTGCATTTTGATGACATTTTACGCACTCATTTGTGCTGTATTCACTTGTACACGAAACAAAAAAAGATTCATTATATTTACAAATTTTGTTAAAGGTAAGTGGTTGCAAACAATGTATATGAGCTGAATTTAAACAAATTGAATTTAGTAATGTTCAACTTCATTTATTTGTTTTAATTCAGCCCATATAAATTGTTTGCAACCACTTACCTTAAAAAATTGTAAAAATTATTGATACTGTTTTCAGTGTATGTTGGTAAAAAACAAATATACTGTTATTTATTATGCAAATTACAAACTGGCCAGCACATTAAACTTTACTCTGGAAGAACAATTAAATTACATTACAATAATAATAATAATAATAATAATAACTATTTAAGACCATTTAAAAAGTTTTTATTGTTATTTTAATTAAATATGTTTTGAGCGGAAGCAAAATCAGCTCATAGTACTCCTAACATACAAAGCACAACTTTTGCTTGCTTTTCTTATTTCAGATGAGCAAGAATCCAAATGTCATTTTGACGTTTTTTTTTTTTTTTAATGTTTTTTTTCAGGATGTGGACAGTGGAAAAGCACCTCTCCGGCAGTTCGACAGTGCTCTGCGCTCCTCCATTGCTGCCATGCGATCCAAACTGGAAACACTGCGCATTCCTGTCATTCCAGAACTGGACCACCAACTGTTTGAGAGAGATTTCACCACGTCCACCACTGCAGGACAACAGGAATACACTGGCCATTCTGGAGAAGCTCTATGGTCTTCTGAAAGTTGGACCACTCTGATAAATGAAGGCCTCAGAGGAAGCACAAGCAGTGTTACGGGACGTCCCATGATGATGGCATCGCCTCAGGGTCATATAGATTCAACATCCAGATCTGTGGAGCCTTCTGCACAACCAGTGAATCTCATGACTCTGGAAACTTCTTATTCACTGCTCGAAAAACGCTCAGTTCCTACCCATAAACCCCTTCTGCAGGAGCCATTCTTCAAAAGTAAGAATTAATAATGGGACAATTAGTAAGAGAATAATAATAAAAAGTGCTAAAGTTCTTTTATCAACAACAAACATCCCAACAATGCAAATTTAGACCACTGTACACTGTAATAATATGGCACGGTGGCTCAGTGGTTAGCACTGTCACCTCACACCAAGAAGGTTGCTGATTCGAGCCCCTGCTGGGTCAGTTGGCCTTTCTGTGTGGAGTTTGCATGTTCTCCCCATGTTGGTGTGGGTTTCCTCTGGGTGCTCCAGTTTCCCCCACAGTCCAAAGACATGTGTGAATCAGCGGTGAATTGATTAAGCTAAATTGTCTGTAGTGTATGAATGTTGGTGTGAATGTGAGAGTGCATTCACTGCGTAAAACATACAGTATGCTGGATAGGTTGGCGGTTCATTCCACTGTGGCGATCCTTGATAAATAAGGGATTAAGGCATCGGAAAATGAATAAATGAATGAATGAATAAACAAAAAAGTTTTAGCCCTAAATAAATTGACCGTTTTAAAGTAATTATCATCACCACAGTTTTTTACATTTTTGTATAGCATGCCTTTATTAAGTTTTACAAGGTTTTACAATAAATCAAACCCCAATAACCCAGAACTTAACCCAGACAGGTTTAGGGAAAAATAAAATTAAATAATAATAATTAAAAAAAAATAAAAAATAGAAATCTAATCAAACACCAATTCACAACCCACAACTTCAGACTTCCAAAGCTTCTTCAATATCTCCATTTTTCACAAAGTTCCAAAACACCTCCCAGATATCACAAAATTCTGAAGTTTTTTTCTTATTACATGCAGTATGTGAGCTTTTCTAGAGCCAAACTTGTTGTTAGGTTTCTCAACCAAAGGCTAATGGAGGGGTTGTATAACATTTTTAAAGTTGTTCAGTCATTTTCTATAGTAACATTTTTCTTGTATTTGATTGATTGATTGATTGATTGATTGATTGATTGATTGAGTTTTTTTATTAACTAATTCATCTATTCTTTCAAATTTCTATTTTCTTTTTCTTTCTATTTTTGAATATATCACAAATATTGTGAATAATAACTATTAAGAACTATACATATTATTATTAAGAGCTATTATTATATTGCTTTTCTGTTAAACCGTGACTGTCTGGGACTAATAGAACTGTTGTTGTTTTAGAGCTCATGAGGAGGAGAAAGAGAGACTCGCACATGCGAACCAAACGAGGAGCCAATGACAAAGGTACAATTTCTTGTTTACTTACCTTTTTTCTCAAGTAGTTAGTTCTATGTCCAATGGCTGTTGCATTACAGAAACCTTACATCACATCTACGTAATATTAAATGGATATTCATATTAAAGAACATGTTTTTTTATTGTCATAATGTAAATTACTAATTAAAAAAAAGTAAAGACTTATAATGGGTTTATCTTTTGTGTTTTGTAGTTTGCTCAGGAGTAACTGATTCAGCTCATCTGGTCAGCACCACCAAAGAGATGTACAACTGGATCCTGTCTCTTCCATCCAACAACATAAACATGATCTTCCAGGAGGTGTGTGTCTGCCGTGTGCGTGCGTGCGTGCGTGCGTGCGTGCGTGCGTGTGTGTGTGTGTGTGTGTGTGTGTTATAAAAGCTATGTCTTTTCTGCTGATTCAAAAATGCTGGTTTGATACTCCAGAAATTTTTTATTGTTATCAATACGAAATTTGTTAAAAGCAGTATAATATATATATATATATATTTTTTTTTTTTGTGGAAACCATTTCTTTATTATTAATTAAAAAAGAACAAGGAACAACATTTGCTAGAAATATACACTGTTAACAATTTCTTGTAAAATCTACAGTAGCTTACTGGCAGCAGTTCGCCAGTAACTTACTCTAAATCAGCAAGAACACTGTAATTAGATTTACAGCACCATTTATCTTGCTCTATTTATTTAGAATATTGCATTTCTTTGCTGTAAAATATACAGTAATTTTGGCAATGCACCTTTAAAATACAGTAAAATACTATATAACTATCCTACAGTAAAATACAGTTCATTTTACAATTAAATACTGTGTAATTTACTAAAATCCTTAACAGTGTGATTATAAACGACTTTTGCTCTCACTTAGATGGATTAACAGTAATGTATGCTTGCGGAAAAAAGTATCAATTCAGTTTTAAAGGCCCCGTAAAGTGCTTTGAAATGTGCATTTTTGTTCGATCTGTGATAATTTCAATTATAATATAAAGACAGGGCAGGACATATAGTAGCTCCTCCCCTTTAAAAAAACAGCCAATCACGTTTAAGTTTAGTGACAACTCTTCTAGTGAGAGTGGTTGAGCTCAAGTGCATTAAATGAAAAGCAAATAAGAAACATCTTAAAGGGGGTGGGGCATGCCAGATACTAGAGAGCATTTGATTGGTCAAGATCTGATGAGAAACTGAAGTATGATGCGATGTGAAAAAATTGTTGATCCATTTACGCAGAAGTTTGTATCTCCTAAATGCAAATTCCAACAGTGTTTCAGTTCACACTAGCTTATAAATGAAACTAACATACTGATACTAGCATCTACAAAATGTTAAATATTGATTTCAGCAGGGCTTTAAAATTATGAATGCTACTATGGTTTCTGTTATGCGTCTGTGATGCAGGTGTTTATGTTTAGTGTTGTGTTTTAATTCAGGATTTCTCTAATTCTATGCTTTGATCATCTCAGGTGCAGGTTGATCTGAAGTCTAAGAATGAACGTGGTTTGTACCAGTCCCGCATCAAGGCCACCATCGGCGGGCGACCTCTGACTTTTTACAGTTTGGTGGGTTTGGAGAACGAGGCATTCTACCGCAGCATGCCACGTGTCATTTCCATTGCCATTGATGCTCTCAAAACGTAAAACACACTCACACATGCTGCTGGAAAAGGAATCATTCTTGAGGTCAAACTGCAACTGCATCATAAACTCTACACATGCTGCTATGGAAATGGTTGACTGAGTCCTCCCTTCTTTCTGGAGTCATTTCAGGACATTTTTTTCTGGAGGATGAAGGCTCCCGGTGGGTCACTGCGATCTGAGATTGTGACTGTTTCCTCCTTTCATTAACTTATTTAGCAAGGGCAGAGGTTGATCTTCATGTCTGAGCTGCAAACTGTACAGATATTATATTTGATGTTTGGTTTATATATTTATTTCTGTATTTTTATATTAAAACTCAAATTATGTTCAAATAAATGGAGTTCTTGGAAATAGCTATATTTAAATACATTATTTTTCATTTGTATTGTTTGTTAGACATGGATTTCACACTGTTCTAAACTTTCATTTCCATCTTGGTGTTTTTTTTCTTCCTATTTTCTGTAATGTTTTTCATGATACAATCATTCATTCATTCATTCGTTCATTCATTTTCTTTTAGGCTTAGTCCCTTTATCAATGTTACCACAGCGGAATGAACCACCAACTTATCCAGCATATACCCTATGCAGCGGATGACCTTTAAGCTGCAACCCATCACTGGGAAACACCCTTACACTACAGCCAATTTAGTTAATTCAATTCACCTATAACACATGTCTTTGGACTGTGGGAGAAACCAGAGCACCTGGAGGAAACACAAAGAGAACATGCAAACTTCACACAAATATGCCAACTGACCCAGCCGAGGCTCGAACCAGTGACTTACTGTGAGGCGAACATGCTACCCACTGCGCCACCTCGTCCCACTTTTAAAATATATATGTGCTATGCCTTATAGCACGCCTAAATTGAAATGGGTTATGGGTTTATCAAATTCATTGCAGTTGTGGCACACTAACATATCGGGTCCAGTTCGGGCCTAGTTTTGGGTAGTTAACTTGACTGTGACTTGGCCCAGATATGGTTTTGGTTGGCCTTTGTATGGAAGCCAGACTTGGTCCACTCATGTACCGTAATTCACTGTGGCATGTGGGCCAAGCAAAAACTGATTTTGTGGGCCAGACCCGGCGCCAGAGAATTTTTTTTTATGTGTGCAGGTTTTTGATGCAGTGAGTAAATTAAGAAAAAAAAGACAAAAAAAAAGACATCACCCACTCTTTCACTGTATTGACCTTATTCTTCAATGCAGAAGTGCGCTTGTTTTGCGATTTGTTTTAAAAGAGCCCCTATCATACATGAAAAAGGGTCATATTTTGGTTGTAAGGGTCTCCAACAACAGTCTAATATGCATGCAAGGTCAAAAAACACTTTCATTGTCTTGTAATCTGCATTTATTTTTCCGAATTATCCCAGCGACTCCCATATGAATCGTTAAGTGATAAATCACTTAACCCTCCCTAGCGCAAAGCTAATCTGCGCTGATTGGACCGATGACAGTTTGCTGCGATTGGTCGAAACTGACTGCCTTCAGCGTGAGACAGAGTGAAATGCCCAGCAGCTAATCAACAACATCAAAGTAGTCAGAGTGCATACACACTTCATAGTGTAAGGCGTGGATTTTGGCTGCCAGTGGGTGAATGTAAATACAGACGATGGACTTGAAAATACAGACGACTAACTATTTTATTGAGCAAAAACTCCAAGAACTGGCGAGGAGATCTCCTTGCTTGTCACACTCTGCTCTTTTCACATACGCAAGGACACACACACACACACATTTCCCTCCTCATCAGAGCACACACACACATTACCCTCCTCCTCAGAGGACACACACACACACATACCCTCCTCCTCGGAGGTCTGTAAACAAAGCGGCACGTGTCACGTTTTCAATGTGGCTTTAGATGCAATATGAGAATATAGTGAGTCACCTGATACAGTACACGCGGTTACAAGTAACAAATCTAAACTAAATACATTTGCAAGCTAGAGTAAACGAGGCAACAACTTTAATCGCACGTACTTACACTTGAGAAATGGAGGAAGAAACCGATCCATGTTCAGACATAGTCCATCTCTACTATTTACTGATCCTTCCTTTAGCAAACGGCCGATGAAGTATTCTTTGTAGCATGTAGTGTGTGTGTGTGTGTGTGTGTGTGTGTTTGTGTTTGTGTTTGTGTTTGTGTGTGTGTTTGTGTTTGTGTGTGTGTGTGTGTGTGTGTGTGTGTGTGTGTGTGTGTGTGTGTGTGTGTGTGTGTGTGTGTGTGTGTGTGTGTGTGTGTGTGTGTGTGTGTGTGTGTGTGTGTGTGTGAGTGAGTGAGTGAGTGCGTGTGTGTGTGCGTGTGTGTGTGTGTGTGTATGTTTGTGTGTGTGAGTCTGTGTGTGTGTGGCTTTTTTTCAGTGTTAGATGGCGGGACCGCAGGTTTCAAATCTCCTGGGTTAGCGTGCGCAACTACTTGTGTTTCGTGGATACGTCATGGCGAAACACCTAATGACTCGTTATCAAGACGACTCGTTTGAAGCACTATGAGTCGACTATTTTATAGATGAATCAACAGTTTTAAACACTGTACACTTACAGATTTAAGCCTTAGCTGGATATTTCACTTCACTTAGAGCTGTGCTACACACTACATGGAAGGGCATTTTCAAAAACCCATAATTTGGGCTCTTTAAAATTTCCGATTTATTTGCTAATGGGAAAAATGCCTAGGAATAATAAACTGCAGAAAACCCTCAAACAATGTGTTCTACAACCGTGTTCATGACAGACAAAGTAGAATAATGTAATAAGAAAATATCAGCTTGCAATATCAAGCAGCAGAACGAGCTGTTTTTAACGTCTAAAAATGAATGGAAGTGAACAAGACTGAAAGTCTCGAGCCAAAAAGATTCAAACGGCTGCGCCCACTCATATGCAAAGAACAAGGTCAATATCTGTAACACACTGTGGTGACTTTTAACCCCAGGTTATTTTAAAATATAGCCAAAGGGCAGCATATCTTACTTAATACACTTTATTGTCCCCAATGGGGAAATTTGTCTTGGACCCTAGGCCCACATTTGCATACACTGAACAAAACTGACAAAACAAATCAACACAAACGTTCAATCATCAGCGGATATATTAACTATTTAAAAGTCTAACTGATGTATGTAAAAAATATTTCTTAAAATGATTATTTCTGCACACAGACAGTCTGTATCATTCATCGGAGGGCAGTAACTTGTAGGTAGTCACAACACAATCTATGCGAGAGGTCAGCTAATTTTTTAATAGCTTCATCAAGAACTGAATGCACCGTAGAAATATTTTAAGGATCTATAGTATGTAAGTAATTAATGTGTATTTGTATAGCACATTTATTGTGTATGGACATACACCCAAAGCGCTTCACAATCATGAGGGGGTCTCTCCACAACATCAATATGCAGCATCCACTTGGACAATACCATCAGTTCGTTCAGCTATAGAGGGAGAGACAGTGATAGAGCCAATTTGGTGGCTGGGCATCATTTGGAGGCCATGATCAATAAGGGCCGATGGAGGGTGTTTGGCCAGGACACGGAGGTTACATTCCTACTCTATGCAAACAGTGGCATGGGATTTTTAGTGACCAAAGAGAGTCCGGACCTTGGTTTAACGTCTCATCCGAAAGACAGCACTGACAGTACAGTGTCCCCTTAACTTTAATAGGGCATTAGGACTCGAAGACCACATGTTGAGCACCCCCTGCTGGCCTCACTACCACCACTTCCAACAGCAACCTAGTTTTCCCATGTGGTCTTCCATCCAGGTACTCACAAAGCTCAGCCATGTTTAGCTTCAGTGAGTAACCGGTCTTGGGTTGCAGGGAGATTTGGCTGTGGCTGTGTCTGTATTCCCTTTTTCCTTTGATTCTCATGGCTGTCTTCACCAAACATTCAAGCTTTGCTTTCGGTTGAACTGTAATGTTCCCATATCACACAGTAAATCCATAGCATATTGTGCTTTCAATCACAGCTTTGTAAAATAAAATTATAACTTTTTGCTGTACACCAAAAATTCGAAATCTCCAAAAATACAATGGCTGCTGGACAAACGAACAAATACTGTCTACATGTGAACCACAGGTAAGCAGGTTGTTGATGTAAACACCCAGATATTTATGAGCACACTTGTTTAATGCATAAATGAACTTGTTCAATGTATAAACTTTAAAAAGGAGAGGGCTGAAGACAGATCTATGTTGCTCTCCATACATAGCCAGGGAGGATTTACACCATTGTAATGTTAAATTACACACAGTTTCCTTTACATTGTGACTAATTGTCACATAACAATTACATTTCAGATATTTAAGCTGGAGAAATGAACGAATAGCTGTGAGAAATCCTTTCTAGAGGATTGTTTACCACTACTGAATCTGGCAACCAAACTTCCACCCGCAGTGGTCATGACAGCTGAACATCTCTTTCAACAGGAGCATTGCCAGAAAACACAGGGGGGCAGATTTAATTTCTAAGCATTTCTCAGATGTTTTAGCTTACGGGAACTGTGCTAATTGTGCTACTTCGCAACAGGTGCCTCTGAATCACTAACAAATGTCACCAGGATGCTTTATTTGGAGCTGATGACAATCCATTGGGCTTTCAGGATGAGCAGATTCTGGAGACTCCTAAAGGAATGCGGAGGAAGTATGTATAAACATTTTATAAAAATCGAATACAGACCCAATCAACTTCAATTTTTATGGGGTTTCTGTTTATAAAATCATCTGCTACGATTTGAGACTTGGTTTTAAGCCTTGATATATAGAAATAATGCATGAGATGTAAAGCTGGAGGGTTGCCAGAAGTGACGCAAGCAGCTGTCTATATACAGTACTCTTGCATAATGACTGACAGGATAAGATGAACTGGCTGCTCTCACACTTTTGTCTCGATTTATATTTGAACCCAACTCCTGGCGACCTCAATCAATAGTTATAAATGCAGTCTGCGTATCTTTGATTTAGTTGCAATGCAATTCTAATGGATTGATTGTGAATTGTTGAGACCTGCATCTCTGATCCTCACACAAACAATCTGTCATTCTGAAATTTCAAAGTGTTAAAAATAAACCTGGACACTCAACAGTGAAGGGTGGTGCAGGGTGGCAACACATGATATTATTGAACTCTCTGTCTATAAGGAAGCATTGTAGTCTCATCCCTTTTTTACTACTTTCCTTTATATAACAGTACACTGTGAACATTTGCAATAAGGTTTGAGACATATTAGGCCCTATTATACACCTAGCGCAATAAGGCGCAAGATTTGTTTGGCGCAATTTGTCAAAAGTATCTGGATGCAGCCTTTATGATGCAAGCTGAGACTGCATCACTCAGCGATGCAATGTTAGACACAATG